ACCTGCATCTACTAAATAGACTTTAAAACAAAGTATTTAAACATCTCAGCGGCCTTGTAGCTAAAGCGAGAGATCAGCTCAGCAGGACTGCATGCATGGTAACTTGCAGAGCATCTCGCTGATTCACTTTGAGAGCAGGAGGTCAGTTTTTTAGTTCCTAATGTTTCAGGTTGCAGAAATCCCTCTCAGACAATCTTGAAGTGTGCTGAGACGCATTTTCTGTTTTAACATTTTATTCCTGGTCAAATTCTATACATCATAAGCATTTATCTTGTTTCATCTCTTTTGTTTTAATTAAGTGCACCTTACTGTATATACTATTGGTCACACAGAGTAAAATTGGTCTTTGAGTCACAGAATAAAACAATACCACTGAATTAAAAGATCATGGGTACGTTTGAAAGTTGTTGTTTTTTTTAACCCTTAACATTACACACATCAGCCAAAGGAAAAATGACCCCACTCAAAAGAAAACTTGACAATGCATTTGAACACCAAAGCGTCTGCCTGTCTTTTATAATGAAAAACGCAGCCATACGCCTTTATTTATTTCAATGAGTAAAAACATATGCTTGCAGAGGACCCTGTACTGTGGAGCTCGCATTCTGTTGTACAATATGAAAACGCCATCTGGTGTGTGTGAGCATCGGCTAAGCAAGCTGGGGGTAGATAGGGACCTGCTATGTCACAGGATTATCATACTGGTTGGTAAAACCACTTTATTAGCCCCTAGTGGCTTGAATTATTGGATGATCATTATTACGTGTGACTGAAGTCAGAGGGAGGCACTTTCACTTCCTCGATGCCGTTCAGTCCCTTCAAAAGACACAGTGCATGCACATTCATGCATTATTTCTCATCGACTTGGACAAGCACAGTTTATTTATTTACTCTGACTTGGATTAACTCTTGTCCGTTTGTTACGTGTTGAGCATTCTTACGGAGATAGCATGAAATAAAGATGATGAGAGGCGGGAAGCGCGTTGTTTTCTTTTGCAAAGCTGAATATTCTCTTCAAGTCTGTCTTAACAAAAATCACGGATGACTAGAGAAGACAGCACAGTCAGAGATGTGTCCTCCGCTCAACAGAACGAACATCTGCCGCTTCTCATCAGCAAGATTGAAGCTAATGATGAGCCCCAGTATGCTGACAGAGAGAAAGGAATTGGATTGTGTACAAGGGGTCCAGTGAGACCAGACATATGTTTTAGAAAATGTTGTGGATGGAGCATGGGTTTATGTACTTTGTGTGTGTTTGTGTGTAAGCTGAGATACAGATGCTCGATAGTGGAAGAGACAGAAAATGGGACTACGCTATTTCCTGCATAGTTTGTTTATCCGTCTGTGTTTATGCATGTGGATGAAGGGGGGAGTGTATTAAAGCAGATAAAACAACCGTTGCATTCCTCCCTTTTCAATCTCTGCTTTCACTAACAGATAATGGAATTACACATCAAAAGAAGCTTCTCTCTGGATCCATTTCTTCTGTGACCTCTACCAGCCTTTGTTCATATTCACCACAACAACTCCCCGGCCCCAAGCCTCTGCCAGCAGGCTTCTCCTTCCTCCTTCTATATCTCTGTCAGGGGAGAGATTAAATTTTGATGAAAATGAAATATTTATTTCCTCTCTGCAACTGATGGCCATCTTAATTTGATACAACTTTTGATGCAACATCTTCATTGTTCTTTTTCATCAACACACCCTTATCCCACTCGTCTGACCCAGCTATACCCCCTCCTTTGGGTGATTCTTGCTAGCATGCAAGTTGAGAGTACACTCCTTGCAGTTACAAAAAAAAAAAAAAAAAAAAAAAAAAAAATCACAAAAAGCGTTTCAGCTTCTCTCTGCTGCTGTGCAGGGATAACAACAAGCCACTGAAATGGCTCTGTGTTTGAAGACTCCAACTAAAAGTGGAGACCACAAATCCAATTTTTCCTGCTGAAGCTTATGAGCGGTCATGCTGCACACAGTTTCAAGTGGTGCACATTTGTCAGCTCACACTGAAACTTTAAGGCTGTTTCACAGACAATAATGAAAGCCGGAGTCTTGCCCTCGCTGAGCATTTTCAGGAAAAGGCTAAATGAAAAATGCATGTGACCAGGTGTTGCAGAGGCAAAGTGAGCAGCTGAGGAAATAAAATAAACATAAAAGCATAAGGGAGATTGATTAGATGACACTGATTAAGTGCTTAAAGTATAAGATAGATAAAGTAATTGATTATTCAATGAAACCCTGTCAGAGTCACTAACCTCATGGAGAGAAAAGAGACAACAAATGATAAATTAGTTTAATCAAACTGCAGATGAGACACTGCACATAGATTATTATATCATTTAAGCACGTTTATGAATACATTTTTAGATGAACATATTTCTAAATTAAGTAAAATGAGAGCAAACGAACATATGCAGGACATCACTAAAATTACCAACTTTCAGTGAGGTTATTAAATTAATAAAAGAAAAAATGAACAGTCTTCTTGAAAACCGTCTTCTTTCATTTAGTCAGATCTTCAAATTAGTTAATGCTTGAAGAGAAAACTCACTCGCCTGTTTGATTTTTACCTTTGTTGCAGAAAACTCTGCATGTTGGACTGAAAAAAAAAAGAAAAAGAGGTTGCAAAGCTTGTGAAAATGGGGAAAAATATAAACGACAAGCTGAGGAGGGATGGAGAGAAACACAGCACGCCAGCAGACGAATCCAGTGGATGTGGTCTTTTATTCCCTCCAACAGATAGAAGCTGCTGAATGAGATGGAGCGACCATCTGTCCTCAACTTAGAGCAATGCACTGGAAAAGCACTAAAATCAATGGCAACAACTCTACCTTGGATACCCACCATTACCCAGATGGTGTACTTGGAGAACTGCAGGCCACCTAACCGAGAAAAGACACAGCGCAGACAGAGCATCGCACTCACATACCACCGCCCACCTCACTGACTTTCACTGCTTCACTTGTGTTGGGAACCAGGGCTGAGCAGTGACATTATCAACCTTGCACTGACTATAAAAGACCCAACTGCTGGCTTTAGCAAGGCGGCTGTGACAATGTGCACCTGCACAGACTCCCACGTAAAAGCAGTGTATTGCAAGAAAGTCACAAACCCAAGAAGCTCTCAAACACATAAGTGCATTTAATGGTCTGAATCAGTAGATTAGCAGAAAATGCTAACACAATTATAATAATACATAAAATTTGCATATTTTACACCCCAAAACCTTGCCATTGGATATAATTATGTGAAAGCTATTTCTTCTCCAGTATTTCCAACATATAGGCACAGTTGTTGAACGCAAACACTAAAGATGCATGCCTTTTTATTGCTGTTGTTACAGTGAATTAAACAACCTCTTCTTGCATGTTTCACCTCTCAGCTTCTCACAATATAGTCAAAGTAGGAAACACACATATACACACACACACAACCGCCCGCTACAAACGCACATTCAAAAACTGCTCTTGCAACACGAGCAATGATAGATTCTATAAAAAGCAACTGTGTGACAGTAGCACGTTTCAGGGCAAGTTTGTCTCCATACTTTGACTTTTTTTTTTTTTTTTTTTTTACTAAGCCTGTCAAATCTATTTCAGATCTTTATTTGAGCAGCTGCCACATGAAACAGACAGAAGAAATGCTGACCTTTTGACTACACAACTTTACTTTAGATCAATAATAAGAAAGCTTTCCATTTTTTCTTAAAGCAGCACGATTATTCATAAACAAAAACTTATTAAATTAGCTTTACCGACGCAGCAGTGAGGCATAGGGCCTCTCTGCATGTGAAGCACAAATATTACACCTCATGCTTTGTGTTTTTTGTATAATTTAAATTTATAGCTAAAAAGCAAAATAGTTCAACTCTATTGTTAGTGTTCAGGATAGATTTGCTTAAATCAAACACTTTAAATAAAAACAATAATAATAATAAGGATAGTAACGCTTTTCAGGGGGCACCCAAGCGGCTTGTCAGGAGGTATGATTTATAGCATTTGTCTGTTGTTAATCTGATGTGACAAGTGGAGAGACGGCTACTTTAAAAGGGCAATTTACAGCTCTGACAATGCATGATATAAAATATGCAATTTTCAACCATTCATCCACTTTCACCCATATGTGGAAGACAAAAAGCCCCAGTGCCATTAGGGATGCCTCCAGTCGTGCCTGTACTCTGGCTGTAGTGATATTTTAATGTGGGCCAATGCCATTTTGAGTAATTGTCCTTAATGGCAGTGCGCCAAATGTCAAAAAATATTTTCCTTGTGACAAAATCAAAATGTATTGATCTCCATTCTGTTCATGTCTCATCACTGTGCAGGATGTTTCAGCACATGGCCAGTCTCCGAGAGACAATTCTCACGTTGTCCATCAGTGAGTGATTAGAAAAATAGACAAAGGCATGCAGCACAAAACTTGGCTCTCTCCTTTCTTTGGCAAAAATGTATGAAAATAAACTAAGATTATGCTACAAGGGACAAGTTTGTATCATGTTGGCACATTTATTAAGATTATTCTGACAGTAGCTTTGAATTAATGGTTTGGAAACTTTCATATTTTGGGCTGTGCTCTGTAACTAAGAGATTGTCCTCTAAAACAGAAGGCAGTGCTGCTGAATATAGCAGGTGACTCAACACTGGCCGCAGAAAATGGAACACACAAGGGAGAGTGCATAGAGGTCACACTAACCCACAGTGTTTCCACACACGGTATACCCGAGTTCAAAAAGGCACTGACAATTTCCCGAGCAATCACGCACCTATAAGGCACTTTTGTCCTGTTGCTCAGAGGCTGCGTCTCGTTTAAATAAGAGGAACACGCACAGGCGACCCGAAGCGCGCGGTAAATAAAGGGAGACTGTTTATTTTTTGCTCCAAAAACTAACTGCAGCCGCGGTGGAGAGCCCAGAGGAGGAAATGCGCTGCGCGCGGAGCAACTTTCAAGGTTACAATCCAAACAATGCGTGTGCGTAAAGGTGGCCTTTAACGTGGACAACTTACCTATTCGTATAACATGAGGCATCCCGCAAGAGTACTGAATCCAAAAGAGACAAGCAATCAGCGAGGTCCAATATTCCCAAATCGCACTCCGGGGAGACAGCCAAGTATTTCGCATGGTTGCAAAGTCGCGGGATCCACTTTTATGTCTTTTAAAATTCCACAGACGAGTCAGAATTGCGCATCAAAACTGAATTCTACGGAACATGTGTGGAAATGGGGAAAATGCGACAACTCTGCGCTCATTGTTCTTGGTGCAACATTCTCCCTGGGTTTCTGGTTATTTATTTTTTTTCTTCTTCTTCTTCTTTTCTCCCGTTTCTCGGTCTTGGAATGGTGAGGATGAACTCCCCCCCTCCCCTGGTCCCTCACAAGAGGATCTGCGAAAACACCTGCACGTAATTACCATGCAGGAGTCTTTTTCCTGTACCCTCTCACAGACGATGCGCTCTGTCTACAGGGAAGTGAGGCAAGTCTGGCACGCAGCATCAGCCGAGCCGAACTCCTGCGCCGCTGTGGAAGAGGATAACTGCGCCTGCGGAAGTTTAGTTCTCCTCCACTGATTCTGTCCTCCGAAAGAAAGGAGGAAAAAAAAAAAAGAGAGAATGTTGAGGAATTTCAACACACTTCGGTGACTTAGAAATGCTTCTTGCAGTTTAATCACTCTAGTCCTTCGTTCCAGTTCTGATAACGGCTCCGAACGCGGTGGAGGAAAGCCGCTCCGCTCCAGTTGCGCACCGTTATTGTAGGAAGATGGTCAATGAAGAACGTCCATCCGTTTTTTTAAAAAAAGGCTCCTCGTTACATAGTTTTCATTTTACACATCAGTCAGTTTGTGCTGGATGGGAAGGTAGTGCAGAAAGCCGTGCATCTGCGTGCGTCTGACGACCCTCCTTCTACGGTGCCACTAGAGGCACGCGTCGTTACGCATAGTTGTCAACTATGTCCAAGTGAGGGTGAGAGGGATCCAGATGGTTTGTTTGGCTCAAATGTGCTCGTATTCTGATTTTAAATGAGTCAACAAAATAAATACACACGATTTAATAGTTGTATTTTAATTCTGATGGGAATATTACATTTATTTTTCCTTTCTTGCACGGAAGCACAAGTTCCATTATAATTCAGTGTCTTCAGCAAAATAAGAAATAAAAAGAGATTTCCCACCCAGATCAGAATGAGATCAATTACTAGCATGGATAGTGTCAGCTGAGGGTTCAGCCACTAACACAAGACGCACTTCTTGTCAGAGGTTACTTGAAACATTTTGTCTGTGTCAATGAGAACATTAATCCCTGGTAACGCATATCTGGATATTCATTTGTCATTCCTCTACAAAGAGCCATAAAAAAAAATAAAAAATAATAATAATAATAAACCTGCAGCTTACAGAAGGCATGCTCACTGCTGGAGCAGAGGTGGATTGAAGCAAATCAAAATGTCAGGGACATTTGTGCATTTCACCTGAAACACCTGCAACTTCCAGCATATATGAAAAATAACAGAAATTAAACTTAAAGTGAAAAGCTGAGCAACAAAGATAAAAAAAAATGACTCACTGAAACAAATGTTTCCAACTAAGACAGATAATTTTCTTGCAGAAATGTAACAAAATGCATATCTTGATACATTCTGCCACCACAAATTGCTATTTTTCCACATTAAATTTTCATTTATAAGAACTATTTTGAAAAATGCACAGCTACATATTTTGTGTGCCTAATACAACACTACTGATGAGATAGTGCTGCGGCTCATTGGTTTAATTTTGCTGTTTTGAATGGAAGAGAGGAATAAACTGTTCATCAGGGGGCACGCAAGCAAGAACAAGCCAGCCTGACTGCCACTGCATATTCATGTCGGGCAGAGCAGATTTATCGCCTCTTGGCACAATGTAAGGACTATCAACGTGAGTTATGTGGCCCAGCTCTCGCATTATGGAGATTCATTGACTTGCTGCTCTTTCAAATACAAAATGTACACAACCTGAGCAAACAAGACATTTGGGGTCTGTGGGTGCCCTCTATGGAGAGATGGTGGTCTGTGCTCTCCATCACCTGCACGAGCTGGAAACTGGAGTGTCAGGAAAAAAGAAAAAAAGGGAGAGAGATCCCCAGCGAGTAAATGTGAAACAAAACATTTAGTGACTCAGTTTTTTTTTTTTTGTTTGTTTTTTTTTTTACACGTTTTATACAAGAGTCGACAATACTGTATATCCGAGTCATTCCAGTTTCCTTCAGCTTGGAGCTACTGGCTTTAAACATTCTTGGTCTCTCTCTCTCTTTTTTTTTTATTTTTTTTTTTGTTTTGTTTTTTTGTTTTTGAGAAAAGTATTTTTAAATCCCTGCTGTTACAGAGAATAAGAATACAATTTGGCAGTGTTGGTGCAAAAGGAGTAGAGCCAGGAGGATTGTTAGACCAGATCTGTGCTGGTGTCTCCCACATTCTCATTGTTATAGTGTGGGCAACATTTAAAATCAGTCCTGGAAACAGTGGCAACAAGTGTCTGAGGAAGAAAAAAATGCTATTAATTGGGCCAAAACTTTAAATTTAATTTAACACTTTATATTAATTTAGCCATGGCTAAATGTGCATGGAATGATGCTTTATTCATTAGATTAGGTTGTTGTGCATTTATACATTTGTTCAAACTTTATAAATATAAACAGATTTTTCATCTTTATATCCTAGTTTAAATTCATTTAAACAGACAAAACTTTATGACATGCATTGACTTTGTTTAGCTGAAATACACATTTTATGTATTGTTATACATGTGATTTATTTTCATTCATTTAAAAAAAAATATTGATAAATGTTGCTGCATAAAAGACAATGCAACAAAATTTTCAGCTAATTACCATTATAATTGATCGCTAAAATCTAATTGATTTGATCTAAACATTAAGACGTTAATCACAAACAACTGGAACAACAACAAATGAGTAGGAAATAATGTTTTGTTGGAATATTTATTAGGTTTTCTCTGTATAGTGGATACTTTTCCATTGATCATAGTATATATATATATATATAAATATATATATATATATATATATATATA